ATAAGAGCTTTGTTTTTGTTGGTTGTGTTGTTACAGAAAGAACTATGTTCATCTCAAATTCTGACACTGGATACAGATGTGGGGGTTTCAAGCAGGTGAAGGGTGGAAACCCACCTGATTGCATTTTTCTTCATCACCCGAGCCTCTAACAATAAGACCAAGTGGGCATGGCAGAGGCATCTGAGGGCTTTTGTGTGCAGCCTCTGGCTGATTCTCCTGCCTCGCCTCTACCACGTCCCTCACACGCACCTGCTTCAGCCTCACTAGACCACTCCCTGTCTTTTAGACAAAGCCTGTGTGCTCCAGTCCTGTCCCTCTTCTTGGGCAATTTCTTCAGGCTGGAGTGCCTTTCTTTTCTACTTATCCTTCAAGGCTCAGTCCACACAGCACCCTCTTGGGCAGCCTTCTCTCAGATGGCTTCATAAAACTGACCACCTGGACAACAGGATGGTCACACAGCTATTAGCAGAGGTTAATTTCTTTCTGCCTTCATTATAGTTCATTTTTTGTATATCTCTCTCTGACTAGACTGTGAGCTATTACAGTGAAGGGGCTGTGTCCTTCATCATTGTCACCCTCCAGTAACCTGCAGCCAGGAGGTGTCAGTGATTGCTACGAGTTGAACTGTTTATTGAGATCCAGTGTTGTTCTGCCCAAAATCTTGATCCTAGGTGCAGTGGCTTGTACTTGTGGTCCCAGCTACTCAGAAGGCTGAGGTGGGAGGAGCAGTTGAGCCCCAGGAGTTCGAGGTTACAGTGAGCTACGATCATGCTACTGCATTCCAGCCTGGGCAACAGAGTGAGACCCTTTCTCTAAAAAAGCAAACAAGAGTGCTGATCCCAAGGTGTTGCCTCAAGATCAATTCCCCCTTCCCTCTCCAACACACACTCTGGAACAGAATGGTGCAGCTACTGTGATTGCTAGGAGAAAGGCTTTGGGGGGTGCCAGTCCCCTACTTGTAGTAACACCTCCTCTTTCTGCAGGAACATGGTGGGTTTTCCTCACAACTTCAGAGTCTGATCATAACACATTCATGGAAATTAGAACCAGCACACGAAACCATAGGCTTATGGCCCTAAAGAAATACATCCATGTCCAGAAAATGCCATGTTGCCAGGTTGCCAACAGCTTTGGCTATAACATGGGCACAGGCTGGGACATCAGAGAGTAGCTGGCGTTCCCTTGGTGGGTGAGGTGGGATGGGCTAAGTTATGTTGCAGTCACATACAACCTCGTCATTTTAGTGGCCAGCATGACAGAGGTATATTTCTCATGCTACATTTCTACTGTGGCTTTCCAGGGGGCTCAGCTCTCAGAGCCCCTGGCAATGGAGGCTCCACCCTGTGGGACGTCACCAGTTGTTTTGGATGGGGAAGGACACACTGGAGCCTCTCGTACCAGTTGACTACTCTGAGCCACATGAGACATTCGTCATATCTGCCCATAGCCCACTGGCCCTGTGGCATCCTACCACCTGCCTGGAAGGAAGAGAGCCAAAATTACTGCTGAGCAGCCCCTCTGCATGTGGGTGCAATGGCATCTTATGACACTCAGAAACCTACTCTAGCGGCCATCTGCCAGTATCATGCAGTGTCATGCTCCGTCATGGCCTGGAAGATCAGAGTCACAGAGTGACAGGACCTGGAGTGTCTCTGAAAATAATTGTCTGGTTTCACTCCCTGGTTTTACATGTCTTGAGAGGCAGAGTGATGCCTACAGTGAGCCCTGGACTGGGAGGAAGGGGCCCGGGTTTGAATCGGGGCCTTTGTTCCTCTTCTGCTGTATGACTTTGGTCAGATTTCTCCTTCTGAGAAGTGGAGCCAATTAGGCGATCTCTAGTACGCTGTAAGCTCTGAAACATTTCCTCACATGTTTCTAGCAACTTCCAGTCTGAGGTCTGATAGATCCAGGGTTACTCTGCAAGCTAAATGTCATATCAGTCTTGTCTGGCAAATCTAATTTTAACCACTTAATACTTATTTTAGGCTTCACAAATTATTTTAAAAGAAAAGAAAGGGGCATAACAAGAAGAAAGTTTCAGTTACAATTTCCCCAAAATATCTGGATCTGGAATTCCTGCCTCCTCACTGCTTCCTGCCTGTGTGGAGAGAAGATGAGGATGGCCCTGGAGTCAGACAGGACCAGGGTCCAAGCCCCAGCTCTTCCATTTGTTAACAATGTTCTCAGCCTCAGCTTCCTTACCTGTAGCATGAAGATGGCAGTATTTCCTTGTGGGCTTATTTTAAGTATCCGGTGAGAGGAAGCATGCGAAGCTCTTAGAACAGAGCCTGGCACATGGTAAATAGTCAGTGAGTAGTAGATGATATTATTACCATCCTGTCCCTGTCCCCAAGCAAGTATTTAGGCTTTGAAATGTTTTAAATGATTTCATGAGAATAAGCAATGTGTCAGATGAATTCTTCTTACCTCCCTCCTACTTACTGGCCATGGCCTGAATGTCTGTAAGGGAGCTGGAGCCAGGTGAGGGGAACTGAGGTTTGGGAAGTACTGAGTTCATTACCAGCAAGTGCACAGTGCTGGGATGGGCCAGGTACCCACCCCCAACCCTACCATCACCCCCCACAGGACCTGCCTCTTGCTCCCTTGCTAACAGACAATCTGTTTGCCCCCTGCCCCCAGGGACCTCACGGTCCCTGCCCAATTTAAAGTTCAAACTCTGTAACTACACAAAGCTGCAGGTTTGGCAGCCATGAGACCTGAGCTTCAGAGACTCCAGGTTCCTTGGCCTGCCCCAGGAGGGCTCTTGAGGTGAGGTGGGCAGAGGAGAGAGAGTGTACAGAGAATCTGAAGACCAGGTCATGCAGTTCTGCCCTTTGGATGCCATAGGCTCCAGGCCCATGGCCCCGGCTTCACTAGGCCTGGGTATCTGGGCTGTGAAATGGGGTGTCTCCTTCCAGGATTGCTGTAAGAACTTGGATTCATCAAAGCTTAAATTGCTTTGTAAGGTGGAAGACACTGAGTACATGTGAGGGACTTTATTAGGTCAGGGATTTAGTCAGGCACCTGAGTTTCTACAGATTTCTTTATTCCGTTCCTTCCCCTCCCCTTCCAGTCCGTTCACAATAAAGAATAACAACTTGACACAGCTTAGAGACTAAAAATCATCCTTAAATAAAGCAGCAGAAGGTGTTTCATATTATGCTATGATTTGTCTTCTGGAATTTTTATCAAGAACATAGGTCAAAGTAAAAAATAGGTTGTTACTGTTTATTTTCTATCTGCTCATAGCACACTGTCCTCTTGCTGCCCCACGGACACCCTGAACTCAGCAGGTCAAAGACAAACTCACCATCTCCCCACTCTCCCCATCTACTGCGCTCATCTTCCCCACCTCAGTGTCTCAGTTCACCCAAAATAAGCCAGAAACCCAGGATCACTCCACAGTCCTCACTCTCCCTCCTTCACCTCTATAATCCCAGATATCTCTCCCAAATATTATCTTACACATATACAGTTGACCCTCGAATAGCATGGATTTGAACTGCGCAAGTTCACCTATACTTGTATTTTTCAATAAATGTATTGGGATTTTTTTTTTGGAAAAAACTCGCAGATGAACCACCACCCAGAGACAGCAAGACCAGCCCCTCTTCTTCCTCCTCCTTCTCTGCCTACTCAATGTGATGCTGACAATGATGAAGACCTTTATGATGATCCACTTCCATTTAATAGATAGGAAATATATTTCTCCTCCTTATGATTTTCGTAATAACATTCTCTTTTCTCTAGCCTTATTGTAAGAATACAGCATATAAAACATATAACATAAAAATTATGTGTTAATCGACTTTTTATGTTATTGGTAAGGCTTCCAGTCAACAGTAAGCTATTAGTAGTTAAGATTTGCGGGACTCAAAAGTTATACATGAATTTTTTTACTGTGAGGAGAGTTGGCATCCCTCACCCCCGTGTTGTTCAGGGATTAATTGTAATCCCAAATATTATATCATCTCCCAAAGGTTATTTTGCATCAATATCTATCTCCCCAGCATTTCTCAGGGCCACCCTCCCCTCTACTGCCCGGCCGGCTCAGGCCTCACTGAGGGCCTGGGTGACGGCAGCAGCTTCCTCCTTGCCCTGCCCTCAGGATGAAGCCTTTCTCATCTGTCCTCTACTGAGGGCAAGGTGGTCTTCCATATACCGTTATTTTTAAAGCTCAAAGTCACAGTCATCATAGAAATGTTGGACAATGTTGAAAATAATAATTTAGAAAACAGGACTTATCTGTAACCCCGTCACCCAGAGGAAACAACTGTTAGTTAATATTTGGCCATCATTTTCCGGTATTTCCTAGATACCCACTTATTCATAGATCTGTAAGAAAAATACTTGAAGAGTTAAAATTGAGATCATACTAAAATACAGTGTTATATGTTCTGCTTTTTTTTTTCTATTAGTTACCTTAGGAACAGTGCCCATTATCATATACCCTTCAAAAAATAAGATTCCAGGCCAACCACGGTGGCTCACGCCTGTAATTCCAACACTTTGAGAGATTGAGTTGGAAGGATCATTTGAGCCCAGGAGTTCGAGACCAGCCTGGGCAACATAGCGAGACCTCATCTCTATTAAAATAAAATAAATTAGCTGGGCATGGTGGCGAATGCCTGTCCTGAGAGCAGTGAGGAGACACTTAGGGATTTCAATGAGAACCGTGATGTGATCACACATGCATTTCAAAAAGATGCTCCGTGGAGGATAGATTGGAGGGAGAAATAGGACTGAAGTCTTGGGACTAGCCAGGAGGCTGGTGTGAAGGCCAGGGGTGACACGGAGAGCTGACCTAGGGGAGTGGTAGGGGCAGAAGCAGAGGATGATTTGGGGGCTGTTCTATGGCAGGATCAGCAGGACTTGGTGCTGCCTTGCTGGGATGAAGATACCAGACCTGTAACCCTAGCCTTGCCACGTCCTCATTGGCATTGGCATATGATGGCCTCAGTACTAACCTGAGACCTGCATCTGTACAGAGCCCTACTTCCTCACCCGGAGGCCCGCCTCCTGCCCCACACCTTCTTGGCAGCCTCCTTCATTTCCTTGTTCCTCAGGCTGTAGATGATGGGGTTCAGCATGGGTGTGACCATGGCATAGAGGACTGTGAAGACCTCATCAGAGATATGGGCTTCCTTGCTCTTGGGCTTCATGTACATGAAGATGATGGTGCCATAGAAAATCAGCACCACAGTCAGATGTGCTGAGCAGGTGGAGAAGGCTTTGCGGCACCCGGCGGCTGAGGGCACTCTCAGGATGGTGGCCAGGATGAGCAAGTAGGACAGGCAGATGAATGCCAGGGGCACAGGCAGCAGCAGGATGGAGCCAGCCAGCAGGAAGTCTTCGCTGACTGACATGTTGCTGCACGCCAGCTTCAGCACTGCCAGGATCTCGCAGGTGAAGTGACTGACCACATGGTGGCCACAGAAGGGCAGCCTCATGGCAATGACTGTCTCAGTCACCGACTTGAGGAGGCAGAGGACCCAGGCAGCTCCCACCAGCAGCACACAGAGCCGGTGGCTTATGAGCATGTGGTACCTGAGTGGCTGGCAGATGGCCAGGTAGCGGTTGTAGGCCATGATGGCCAGCAGCAGGCATTCCGTGGACAGGCTCAGACACATCTGGATGGCACAGCCAGTAAAGGAGATGGTCTTCCGGGATGACAGGAGGGGGCCAGCATCAGGGGCACAAAGGTGGACGTGTAGCAGATGTCCAGGGTGGAGAGGTTGCCCAGGAGGAAGTACATGGGTATGTGCAGGTGAACATCTAGCACACTTACCGCCACAATGGCTGTGTTCCCCAGCAGGGTCACCAGGTACATGGCTGAGCACAGAAGGAAAAGCAGGTGCTCCAGGAAGGGGTAGCCAGAAAATCCTTTCAGAAAGAACTCGGACACCCCTGTTTTGTTGAGCGGCTCCATGCTGCAGAGTTCTGAATGGATGATATGCAGCTGGGATGGAAGGAGAAAGGGTACAGGTGTGGGAAGCTCCTCGAGCCCTCTGGGACTAGGCAGACTGTTAGGATCTTTTCCAGCACTGCCACAGTGGCTGTGACTTTGGGCTATCCCTTTACCCTCTCTAGGCCTCAGTTTATCCATGCGAAAAATGAGGATTGATTGAGATCAGAATTTCCAAAGAGAATGTTGGTCAGAACATTAGTAACCAAGCTGAAAAATCAATTTGAGACAACGGATTAATAAAAAAATGAAGCTCTTTACTGCAGGACTTCTCAGAGCCTTTAATATGCTAATGTGACCTATGACTCCCACAAAGCAATATAGAACATGTGTCCCTCAAACGTATTTGATCATGGATCCCCTTTTACAGAACACCCATTAACCTACTGCAGATATGTGTCTTATGAACATAGGCTGCAAAACAATGGGCTAGATCAACAGTTCTCAAATTTTAACATGTACCAGAATCACCTGGCAAGTTTGTTAAAACAGATTGTTGGACTCCAGTCCCAGTTTCTGACTCGGTGGGTCTGGGTGATGCTTCTGCTGCTGGTGCATGTACCAAACTTTGAGGAACCATTGGGTTAGATGGTCTCTGAAGGTGGAGATCCTCCTGGCTTTAAGGAAGCCTATGAGCCATTGCATTTGGTATGCCCACTGTCTGGAATGTCCTCGGCCTGCAGGGGTCTGACCTGTCTCTTCAGCTAAAGTCTGATGGAGCTCTTGGCCCAGCTCCAAACCCCTGTTTTCTGTGGGCCAGAGCCAGGGCTGCTCTGACTTGACGAACTCTTAGGATATTAGCGTGGAACATGCCCAGAGGCCAACTTGTTGGATCTCCCATTTTGTAGATGGGGAAGCTGAGGTCACACAGCAGGTCTTTGGTGAGGTGAAGCTTGAATCCAGCCCTCCTAACAGTGTGACACATGTGCCATGCTCAGAGCAGGCATGTGCTTCCATAGGTCTCAAACAACCCTTGTTCTTTCACTGTTCTAGATGGACAGCTGTGCTCTGGGTGCTGCCGCAACCTCTCACCAGCAAAAGAGCGTGAGTCACCTCTCTTTGGTATTCCAGGGTATCTGGCACTGTGCCATTAATCCCTTGGGACACGATGCCACAGCCCGGGCCTGAGCAAGCACAGTTCCCCTCAGTGCCTCCCTTGCAGGAGACCATTTCCATCTTTTATTCCTCCCTCACTTACTCATCCCAGAACCTAAAAGTGACTGAGGACCTACTACATGCCAGGTGTGCCAGATGTGAGGGAGCACTGAGGACAGGTGTGGCTCCAGGCTGCTGAGTACAAACCCTTCCTAGGCAGAGAGGACCCCCAACTCTCCCATACCCAGCCTCACCCTCCCTCCACTCTCCCATACCCAGCCTCACCCTGCCCCACCCACTCTCCCGTACCTGGCCTCACCCTCCCCCCACTCTCCCATACCCGGCCTCACCTCCCCCCACTGTCCCATACCCAGCCTCATTCTTCTCCCACTCCCCCATACCCAGCCTCACTCTCCCCCCACTCTCTCATACCCAGCCTCATTCTCGCCCCCATACCCAGCCTCACCCTCCCCCCCATACCCAGCCTCACCCTCCCCCCACTCCCCTATACCCAGCCTCATTCTCCCCCCCATACCCAGCCTCCCCCTCCCCCCACTCTCCCATACCCAGCCTCATTCTCCCCCCATACCCAGCCTCACCCTCCCCCCACTCTCCCATACTCAGCCTCATTCTCCCCCCACTCTCCCATACCCAGCCTCATTCTACCCCCACTCTTTTATACCCAGCCTCATCCTGCTTCTGTTTGCTTGCCTCTAGTGACAGGAAGCTCATTACTCCTGTACATATTTTTCTTCCTTTCTTTCTGCTATCAGGCTACTTGAAGGGTCACAAGTAGAGTCTCTCTAGGTCTCACTGGGCCTTCACCACTCATGAGGTTTCCAGGCTGGGTGGCCCCTCTAGCTACTCCTTCTTCTTCCAGAGTATGAGTGCAGGGTTCAGAGCTTAGCCCTACACAGAGCACTCCCTCAGGGAGTTCGGGGCATCTTGCAGCCAGATCTGTGATCCGGTCCTGGGGCCTGAGAGAAAAAGGCTTGTCTCACTTGACTATGTCCAGACTCACCATAGGGCCTGGTGCAGGTGAGCTGAAAGTTTCCTTCCAGACTTCAGAGTTCCCAGCCAGGAGACTCTGAGGCTGGGTTCCTGGAGAGGGACCCCCATTTAACAGAGCATGAGCAGAAACAAGCACTGTGCCAGGGATGGGGTGGGACACAGAGATGGCATCACGTGGCCCCCGTGGCTGGCTCAGGCACCACCTCCTCTGCATGCTTCTGTGTACTACAGCTTATTCCCAAAAGTCACGAGGAAGCATCTGCAGCTTTGGCTACCTGTTGGAATATACATACAGGTCACCACATGTGCACTCACCTACAGGTGAACACACAAATACCGGTGTGACGTACAGGTACACATATGTGTGCCTGTGAGTATAAGCCACACATAGGCTCATATGTGTAACTGTGTTGACATTCACATGAGTGTACACGCATTAGGTACCAGACACTCAATCTCTCTTACACACGTGTGCACACACATGCCCAGATCCCATAAGGCATCCCCTTGAACCTGGGGCTAGGGTGCTTTAGAAGGCTGGGCAGATTCCTTAGTCCCTGGGAGGAGGTGTGTGGAGACCACGGCCAGGAGGGGTGGCAGGGGCATCGCTAGGAAGGAGCAGCTCTGAGGGAAGGGAGCAAACTCTGCCTACAACAACCCAGGAGGACACGGGAGCCCCAGAGCAGGGGCAAGCTGCAAAAGGACCTGGGGCTCCCTGCTCTTCCTTCTGCCCTTCAGCTGGGGGATGGGGCCTGCAGGAGGAGGAGGAACATGACCGATGCTGTGGACTCTGGTTCCCAAAGCACAGCCAGAAAACTTTGTCCCATAATGTTCTTTCTGCTCTTTCATCCTTCCTGACAGAATGCTATGGAAAAACCAGTTCAAATGGCACCTCCACAGGGAATCTTCCTGTCTCCTCCCCAAGGCCTCACAGGGCCCTCTCTCTTTTGCTCCATGGCCCTGGTTTTGGACCTCTTGGAGGTCTCTCTCTCACTTCTGGCCTGCTTCCTATCCCAGCCAGCCTGCAGGGATATCACCCTTCCTCTCCTCTCCCAGGTTCGGAAGGCCAAGCTGAGATCGCCAGCCTGCCCACGGCCAACTTCCCCCGTCTTGCTGTGACATCCGTGGCTAAGGCAAACCGGGAGTGAGCCGCTGGATGCCAAACACAGGCTGGTTCCAGCCTAGGTGACACCTTGGCAGAGCTGGGAGGGGTCTTACAGATCAGCTGGACTACCCCCCTGTTATACATGGGGAAACTGAGGCCCAGCGAGGAGAAGGGGCTTGCCTAGTGTTGCAGAGTCAGTCAGAGGGGGAAGTCAAGGCCCTCATCTTCTCAGGCTCTTGGCTCCCTCCCCTGCCTTCAGATCCTGTTTCTCACTCACCTTCAGGCTCCTCTGGATCCACTGGAGGATGTTTCAGAGGGTTTGAGACCAGGTATCTTTTCTATCTGGAGCTAGCAGGATACAGTTCAAAGAAGTAGGCCTGTGCCTTCTAAATATAGAGAATCCTGGTGAATGGGACACAGGGTTTCACACCAGCCCAGCTTTCCAAACTCTGAAAACATGCCTGGACTTTCATAGAATTCAGCACAGGGTTTGAAATTGGTTAGAATTCAATGGAGCTTTTGGAATTTGATAAAATTATACAAATGGCTTAGAATTCAGTGAGTTTCTCAGCAATGTGTCAGGTTTAGGGAAATTAGGAAACAGGCCAGTAGTTTACTGTGGGCAGCCAGGGACCCCCCCTGACCTGGCAGCACCCAGCTCATCCGGCCGACAGCCTCTGGGGGAGCAGGCAGGTCATATGGAGGTGGCACCTTTCAAAGCGCTTTGTGCACCAAGGGACTGTGAGATCCCTGAGGAAATTTAGAGGGAGGAGAGGAAATGTGCCCAGCTTAGAAACTTTGGGGCGCTTCAGGGATGATGTCCCAAAGATCCAATTACACAGAATCTATTTAGAAATCTTAATTGGTATGGAAAAGTTGGAGAAAGTGGCTGAGGCACAGAAACTATCCTCTTAGGTCAGGCCCCACCCAGTGCTGATGCAGGAATGTTTACAGAATGAATATTTGAATGGATGGATGAGTAATTAAATGAACACATAAGCACTTTTCTTTTTTCTTTTTTTTGAGAGGGAGTCTCTGCTCACTGCAACCTCCACTCCTGAGTTCAAGTGATTCTCCTGCCTCAGCCTCCTGAGTAGCTGGGACTCCAGCGGTGCACCACCATGCCTGGCTAATTTTTAGGTATTTTTTAGTAGAGACGGGGTTTCACCATATTGGCCAGGCTGGTTTTGAACTCCTGACCTCATGATCCACCCGTCTCGGCCTCCCAAAGTGCTGGGATTACAGGCGTGAGCCACTGTGCCCAGCCACAATTTTCAATGAATAAATAAATGTAAAAATAAATGAATGAGTGAACAAATGTTAGGCAGACTTGCTTTCCAGGTGAGGAGCTAGAGGTCTTGGCTCAACTCTCACAGGGATCTTACAAAAGTGCAAAATCTAGGAACGTGAATAAAGGAGTGAACTGAACCGGAAGAAGCAGCACAGCCGAATTGTAGAATATCAGAGCAGGAAAGTCCTTAAAGGCCATCTTAATCCATGCTCCCTGTACAGGCGGGAGAAGTGCACTAGCGAGGTGAAGGGGCTAGCTCAGAGTCACTTAATGAGGCAGAAGCATGGCCCTGGGTTGACTCTGACACTGATTTGTCCACCCTTGAATCCTGTCTCCCTCAGTCACTGCAAAGCCCATGTGCCCAGGCAGCCAGTGACTGTGTTCCTCTTGTCTCTGCTTGGTCCCCCCTCCCTGTGCTCAGAGCATCCATCTTGACGGTTCCTCCATGAGGTTCTCCACAGT